AAAAAAAAAAACTTTTCTGCTTATGCTATGAAAATTTCCTCCTGTTATTTAAAATTTTACGTCTAAAACTGCTTATAAATTGGGTTTTTTAATAAATTATAAAATTTTTTTTTTATGTTTAGTGCAAATATTAAATGATTTCCCCAATATACATAAAGATTAATTCTTGTCAAAAGATTTGTTTGATATTGGCAGCAATATTCTTTTCTTATATTATATATTTATTTTAAGTTGGAAAATAATTTCCCTTTATTATATTTTAATAATTTTATTATAATTAAGATGTATTTTGCTAAGTTAAAATTCTTTAGATTTATTTAGTATGCACGACTTTTTAAAGAAAACTATTGTGTTAGTAACCAAACTTATATTTTAGTATTTACTTTTAGTTAATAATAGTTTTTTATATTATTATATTCACTGTGTTTTACCTATATTTTTTGTAGGTAATTGTCACAGAACCTAATACTCAATTTATTGAACATATCTTCATCTTAAAAAGTGTGTTAGAAAATAAAGTTGATCATACTGCAGAACATTTGGGAGTTAGTAACATAGGAGGCATGATGTTAGCTATTGTAAGGTAACTGCTTTTTTTTAAATTTTTGCAGGGATTACTAATCAAATCAATATATTTTTGAAAAATGGAATTTTCACTTTTAGAGCAAGTTTCATGGTGCTTCTTATTAATTGCCTTAACCCTTTGATCCAGAATTTTTATGAAACATATTTTTTTCACTTTTTTTCTTTATTTTGTATTAATTTGTAATTATTATATATTTTGTAATTATTATATTCAGCATTTTAATAATAGATGATTAGAAAATGCAACATAAAACATCTTCATCTTTTTCTGCGTTAAAAGTAAAATCTTCAAAACAAAAATTTTTCACATTTGCACTTTTTTGCAGTTATTTAGATTTAATCGAAACAGTTATTCATTATTGAAATTTCTTTAATCTACAATCTACTTTTTTACAATCTACAATCTATAATCTACTTTTTTTTTGGATTTTATATTTTTGTTTTTACTGATTTTTTTAGTAAAACTATTATACTGTTTTTTTTTTAAATTAAAAAAATACAAAAATATTTTTTGCTTGCAATTAGACTTGCATCAGGAGAAAGAAATATAAAAGGGACATCAGTGTTCCATCTGCATCTAGGAATTACGAATCTTTGTTTCACTTAAATACGCAAATTGCTTCTATATTATTTAATTTTCATTAAATAAAGTTTGAAATATGAATTATAGATGTTAGAATTTTAAATTTAAATAAATCAGAATATTGACTTATACACCCGTAATGAAGTCAGACATTTGTTGATCAGGAAATATCAGTGCCTTTTAAGCAAAGATAGATATGAATAACTCCATAAATTTTCCACTTTCAAAAACTGTTTTTTAATATATATACAATTAAATGTATGTTGTTGTTTTTTTCATCATATTTCGTTATATCTTAAGGTTTTTTTAGAACACTAAATTATATTCAAAAAAAATTTAGATAATTTAGTTTTCATAAGTTGTACAAGAGTAATTCGAAATATTCGAGAGTATTTCACAAGGAAAACTTTTCAAACATACCCTAAAGTTACAAATTTAGAAATTCGAGAACATCTTCTGTGTCGAATTCAATAATGATACGCATCTTTATTTCTTGGCAAATATGTCATTTCCAGAGATAACAATGTGAATTAAACTTTAAAAGAATTTTGTAGGCCTAATTTTTTGTTTTTATTTATTTTAAAAACTTTTATATTTTATATACCAGAAATTTGCTATTTTGTAATCAAAACTAAGGGGTCGATTTATACATCGAGATGTACGTTATATCTTCTTAATTAGTTTTCTCATGTCTTAATTTATTTTAGGTACGTCCGCCACTTGGATACCACTGTACATGCTATTCAAATTAAGACAAAGCTTTGCCAGCTGGTTGAAGTCATGATGGTTAGACTAGATGATTTGGCATTTCTTGAAGAAATGAAGTTTCGTAATAAACTCATGGAATACCTTACTGATTGGGTGATGGGCAACAGTCATCAACTGGCTCACCCTAATTCTGGAGATGTCACAACTTTAACGAGGGATCTTGACCAAGCGTCCGTGCAAGCGGTAGCCGCACTTCTAAAGGGTTTACCACTACAGCCAGAAGAGAGTGATCGAGGTGATTTGATGGAAGCTAAATCACAGCTATTCTTGAAGTAAGTCGTATTCACTTTTTACCTATTTATCTTTCAGAGTAACCACAGAATAGGGAATTTTAGTAAAATACCAAAAAATCTCAGTAAATGAATTAATTTAAATGTGAGGTACCTAAAAGCCCAATTTTCTTTTAATTTTCTTGGTACCTTTTTTATTAATGTATTGGCCAGCCTGATGGCTGAACTGTGAGGGTGCCTGACTGCAAAGCCAATTGTTGTGGGTTTGAGTCATACTCAGGGCATGGATGCTTCTCTCTGTGTGTTGTTTGAATATGGCCCAACCTATGAATCTGTGGCAGTGTGATGTGGGGTGGGTAATGTTGCTCTCCTCTGTAACTTCGGTTCATAGATGCCCGTCTGGTAACGTTAAACGAGCAAGAGTTTCTGCATTATCCGTGCCTAAAAACGAGAGTTCAGTTCCTCCTGTTAGAAAACAATGTATGAAATGCAGTTAAATCCAAAGTAACCTTTGTTTTTTAAATGAATTGTGCTTTTAGAACTAATTTCAAAATTTGTTCATGATTACTTAAATTGATTGACAGTGATTATTTCCCTAGTTCTGCTAAAATTTTGTAATAACTATATAAATTTTACTATTGCAAAGTGTGTATACACTTTAATAATGTAATGTAAAAATTTTAAGTTATTTTTATATAATTTTACCTTATCTATTTACAATACTTTTCATAGTCATTTTGTTTACCTGAACCTTGTTGCTTCTTGTACGTTTTTTTTTTTTAAACAATTTCTCTCTACTCTATTTTGTATTTTTAAAGCAATAATAATGGGTCTAATGAAAAAATTCTGAAAAATCTCCATATTTAATATCTATTTTCTTTCAGATATTTCTCCTTATTTATGCATTTACTAAATGAGTGTGGTGATTCAACAGAAGATAAAGAAGTTCAACATAGAGTTAATGTATCCAGACTTAGTGAGCTCATCACATGCACTATTCAGGCTATGTCAAATCTTTTAATGGTAATGTTGATAGTGGACTCGTGCATTCTATTAGTATGTTTGTCTTTCTTAGCTCTTAAAATTTAACCCATATTTGTATGATTTAGTATATTTTGTAAAGTTTATTCAAAAAATGCTGCATCAAATTAATATAATGAAGTAAAACTGGAAGAATCATAATTAATCGGAGAAAGTAAAGCTTTCTTGCAACGACCAGATTGCTCCATTTGGGTAAAGCTAATGTGGTCAATATTGTGCACTGACCGCCTTACTTCCCAGATAATCTGGTATTCGTAGATCTGAAGTGGAATAGGCTTCAAGCCGTTACATAAGATAGAGACTGGTTCTTCACTTTGTGCAATTGTGTATCAATCAAAGTATTGAATATAATATTTCATGTTGTGTTCATATGTATGTTGTTTGTTAATCTTCAATTTATTTATTTATTTTAATGTTCAAAATGCCTGTTTTTAAAGTCAGCCATTTTTTTAATTCAAAGTAATTCCCGTGTTCCTATTAGCCCACTTTCGTGTGTGAGGGTAAAATCTTGAGTTAAAATTTCAATCACTTTCTAACTGTCAAGAGCATTCAAATCTTTCATGGAGCCTCGCGGTATAGCGTCTTCTTAAGCTCATGGTTGAATTTCGATTTAAATATACTCTTTGTGCTCTCATTTAAAAACTTGCTCTATTTTTGTACATACACCAGGTCAACTTCTTTTTCATCAAAATAGGGGAGAGTAAAGAAAAAAAAGATAGTAGGTAGTTTATTTGCCACAGCCTGTTCTTTCCTTCACTTCCAGGAGCTCACATCTCAGTTATCCTTTCTTAAAGTAGTATCCCAGAGAGGCTGTAAAAAATAAACAATAAATTCTTTAAATCTGCAAATCAAAATACAAATTAGAGTTATAAATTATTAAAGTGTACTCTGTATTTTAGAATGGTTTAGATTTTTTTACAGATCTTTTAGTTCATCAAATTAAGAAATAAATGGAATCTGTTTGACACAAAAATCTGAACACTTAACACTTAAGTTAAACTGAAGTGAAATAAAATATGTTGATGTACAACATCAATCATGTACAACATTGTATGGCATAAGTAATTGTCTTAATTTTTCAAACAGGTGTAACCAAATAGAAGTCTATTGCTTAGAAACTTACTAGATACCTTCCCAAATCAGCAACTTGGAAATGGAGTTCAGATTCCTTTTTTTTTTACCTCTTTATTATTGCTACTTAATGTCTCCTTAACTGTGTGTAATCCCTAACTTTGTATTATATATTTAGTTGAATTGTGATGAATTTCAAGCATATCATATAATGTTCTTCGCTTTGTAACCTGTTGAATTTTGAACATTTCTAATTCTATTCTTTTTTTAAAAATGATGCCATCTTGTTCTAAGAAAATCTTTACACAAATGCTTTGCAAAACATTATACTTTGTATGGCAGTAAATTTTCATGGTGGACCAGAGGGATAGTTTTAGACAAGTTATTAATCCCAATGTTGATCTAAAAATTAAGTAATTCTTTATGATAATGAACCTAATGCTCGTTAATGTTTTATCAAAAATAATTGTTTTACTTTCAATTTTATTAAATTGATTTGTATTTTTAGGCTTAGGGTACCATAAGGATCTTCAAACCAGAGCAGCTTTCATGGAAGTTCTGACCAAAATTTTACAGCAAGGAACTGAATTTGATATGCTTGCAGAAACTGTGTTAGCAGATAGATGTGAACAGTTAGTTCAGCTTGTTACAATGATTGGTGATAAAGGAGAACTGCCTATTGCAATGGCTTTAACTAGTGTTGTCATGAATCCTCAAATGGTGAGCAACTCAAATTTGTTTCATTGCTAAACTAATAGTTTCAAGCATTTATCATAGTAATTAATTGACTTCTATTGTTAACTGTCAAACTTTAAAGGATAATTTGAAAACACTAAATTTAGTTTTTTTTTATACTGGGTGAATAGCTTTTTTAAAAAGTGCTTAAAGGTGCTTATTTTAGATTTTAATCTTTTAAAAGCCCTTGGTGCTTGTTTCATTTTGTGTTTTTAAAAAGTGCTTAATTTTCCATTTTTCAAAATGAGATTTTTCCATTACTATGTTGATTTTTGCTTTGATTTTTATTATTTATTTATTTATTCATTTTTTTTAAATGATGGTTAGAACAAGATAAAATCTTTAATTGTCAAAAACTTTCCAACTCTGCTTAATTATGAAACTTAATTGGTGTTTAAAAATATTTTTGATTGCTTGAAAAGTGCTTAAAAGGTGCTTATTTTTTGTTGAATAATTTGGCTATGCACCCTGTTACAATTTTTCATTATTTTAATTCAAAAAGATAAAAGTAAGTTAGCACTTTTCCTGCATACTAACTCAAGGATATTACCAAACATGTATATTTGTGTAAATAATTGATAATACATTAATCTGATGTTACATATGTTAAGGTTTGTATATTGGCTTTATTATTTTAGTACTGACAAGATAAATAAATTATCACTCCCCATGCTTGAAAATTAAAAGCTATAACAAAACATATATATTTTATATAAATAATTAAGAATACATTGAATTATCTGTTAGTATGAAACTAATGAAGTTCGTTTAATGGTTTCTTATTTATTAGTTTTAATGAGATAAGAAATAAATTACTGCCTTTGCATGAAAATTCAAAGCTATGACAAAACATATATATTTTGTATAAATAATTGACAACTCATTAAATTATCTGCTAATATATTACTTGAGGTTTGTTTAATGATTTTATTATATTAATTCTGATGAGATAAAAATATGTTATCATTTTCCATGAATAAAATTTCAAAGCAATAACAAAACATATATATTTTGTATAAATGAACATATGTTAAATTATCTGATAGTATGTAACGTAAGATTTGGTTAATGTTTACATTATTTTTATTTTAGTGAGATAAAAATATGTTATCACTTCCTATGCATAGGAAATCAAATATATAAAAATATGTGCCTATTTTAAAAAAGTATTTTAAGTCATTTGTTGGTACATAAGTTAGAGTGCATTTCAAACTTATTTTTCTGCATGATGAATCATATTTTTTGGCTACTTATTTAAAATTCTATTAATCTGTGATTAAGTTTGTTCAAAAATTTGCTTGCAATATTTTTAAGGTGTTTTTTTAAATAAAAATGTTTGTTATTTGTATGTTTTAGGATGAATTGGCTAGAGTATTTGTAACTCTGTTTGATGCTAAGCACTTGTTAGCCCCTCTGCTGTGGAACATGTTCTACAAAGAAGTAACTATATTTTATTTACATGACTTTGCAAATTTGCTTTATGATGTGTGTATGACTATTTTAGAGTAATAAATATTTTTTTTCCTCAACTGAAATGCTCAGTTAAAAAAAGTTTCTATTTTTAGCGAAATTTGTGTGTGCGAATCTCTTGTGACGTTAGATGTAAATCCAAAATTATTCATCCAAATTAACAAATTCTGACAATTTTTTAATGTATATTAACAGTCACTAATTTAATACAATTAATGAAATTTTTGATAATTCAAGTTATTTTGTTAAAAAAAGATTTATATGAAATGAATTATTTTAATTAAACTAATGGCTTTTTTTGCTTTCAAAGAACTATCAGCAAACTCTTTCAGTGAAAATTTTAAAAAAAAATTTTAAAGTTGCAACTCTGTTATATGCAAATTTTTTTAAAAAAATTTCATTGAATTAGTAGTAATAAAATTATAACTGGGAAAATCAGCATTCAACAAATCAGCAATCATAACATTCCTTTGCAAAGTAGTACAGAGCTTTTAAATTTGATTATATGCAAACATTATTTCGAGGAAATAGTCTTGGTAGCAAAATTATGGCATTCTGCTTTCAGATATATGGTGCAAGTTATTTGTTAAGTTTGCTTGATCCATTGTTAAGTACACTTTTAGATCTGCCTAACGTTAGCTACGAAGTTGATCCACCTAGGTTAAAACATTATAATTTTTTTTAACTATGTTTAGAAAGTTATCACCTTCAATACTTTTCCTTTTTGAAAAAAATATGTATAAATTTTGAGGCATTTGATTTTTTAGCATTTAAGCGAAAAATGGTTTAACTTTCAATTAAAAATTTTGTGTTTGATTGCAGATTAAGGATTTTATGAAACCATTCCTTTGTAATTTTATTAAGAGGGAATTATCTGGAATAAAAAACAAATAAGATATTCTTTCCCTTTTAGAAAAACTTTTAACTTACCATTTCTAACTTATAAGATAATGTTTTGAAAAATCTTATGCACTATTATTATATTCCATTTTTTATAGAGTATGCAGTATGCATGCAGTTAAAAATAGCAATATAAATACATTTTTAATAATGAAGTATCTATCTTTTTTAAAAGTAAACATCCTTTTTTAAATTGCTAAATCATTGTTATTTTAATTTATTACCAGAAACATCTTTAAATATATGAAACCTTTTGTGCATAAAGAAAAGTACTAATAAAATTAAACTAGAGAAAATACACTTTAGAAATCTCACATTTATAATAATCCTTATCACATTCATACATTTTATTGCTTTTAGCTTCCCATAATAATATATAATTCTTTACTTTCAAAAGGAAAAGTTTCCATTAAATTCTCACAACTTAATACGCATTTCAAAGTTCTTATAGATCTTTATTATTTTTTTTATAAGTAGACTTAAGTAATATTATTTTACGTAAAAATAGGCTAATTAGAATATGCTTCCTTATCTAGAGTAATGGTAATAATGGATATTTTATTATTTCCGAATAAAAGCTAAAAATAAAATTTATTGGTTACCAGTTTTTACTCTTTTCCATCTTGATATATATGAACTTTCAGCCCTGTAGATAACAGGATGTTTTTCAGCTAACAAAGTTTCAACCAGTATGAAATAAGAATTTGAATTTAATTAAACAGTATTATGTGTTCGAAATATAATTGAATATGTTTTTGAAAATAAGGGTTAAAAAAACAAATTTTTTGAATTTTTTTTATCAAAAATTATTTAAATATTGGCCATTAGCAGTATCTGTTACAGAAACCTTTTTTACATTCTTATTGTAAATAGAATTTAAATCAAACTAATGCTAATTTGCTTTTGTAACTTTAGCAGGTTTGTATGAAAACTATAATTGTGAGCATCATGAATTTCAATATATATTTTGTTAAAATGTTATATATATTTTTTGAAATTTTTTAATGATAAAAGAAGGATATTATTTGAATAATTTGAAATTTGTGTTATACGTCTTTTTATTTATTTTTTTTATTTATTTATTTTTTTTTAAGAAATGTTTGTTACACTTTTTTAAAGCAAAATTTTAAATTTTCCTAGCATTAATGCTGATTTTTTTCAATAAGTTATTTAAGTATAGTTTTTAAAAGTAATAAAGTTTTAAAAAAAACTAAGCTATTTATTTTACTGGGAAAAAAAATTTCACGTTAGATTTTCATAGAAAATAAGGATTTAGTTGGAAAAAATGTATTTTATTGTACTTAAGCTAAAAAACGAATGGTATTTTGTCCTCATTTCCCTGTAATAATATTCATTTAGAAGTTATAAATTTTATAGCTTGCAAATCTTTCAAGTTGTTATTTTGAAATTTCAAATAATATTGTAATTTTTTTGAATTTTACTGATTATTATTATTATTTTTGCAGGAGTGGGGACCTGAAGGTTATCAGTTATGGGCATTATCAAGAAAGTATCGATGTAGTTATTTTTCAGTTTGTGAAAAGTGCCTTAACTGTTAATGCTGGAATGGTTTGTATACTTGATTTTTATAAAATTTAAGTGAAAACTTGTAAATTATGTATTTTCTGCAGTATAGCTTGGTTCCATGTTTAAATCAAACCCAAATTTTAAATATTAAAGGGTGGGTTTTGTATGTATCGGATAAATAGTAAAATGACACAAATATTTTTTGTATTGATACCTTTTTTATAAAATAAATTTATACATAAAAACAATATGAAACTCTATGAACATAAGTCAATTTTTTCTATTTCACTCTTTATTAATTATGTTCGTTTTTCTGATGAACTCTTGATGTTCTGTTTGTTTAAAGAGTTTAAATTAGACATGACTGTGTTGTTACTTTCTTATGTTTGTATTTATCTTATAGAATAGGTTACACTTTTATTCTGTGCATCACAGATTTGTCAAAATTCTGTATGTGTCTACTTCCAAAATGACATTGCAAGTTCAGGGTACAAAAAGTGAACTTATGCACCAGAAAAGGCTGTGTATAAATTGTATGAAACTGAGGAAGAAAACTCTTTTTTTTTAAAAAAAAAAATTCTTTCCCCCTCCTCTTCAATTTGCATTTTTTCTAAAGCTATCCTGTCTCAAGTAATTATTCACAAGGAATTTAGAACTGACAATTAAATCAACATTTTTAGTTTATCTGTTGCTCATAATTTTTTTTTTCATTTTGTTTAGTAAATATTCAAAATCTTTCTCTTGCATGAAATTGAAATGAATTAAAAAAATGATTTAAAAAAAAATGAATGATGTTGCTTAGACTGATTCTTGCAAATTTCTAAGAAAAATAAAAGTTCTTACTTAGTTAAAAGTTTGATGTAAGCTTGAATTTTTCTAGACCTACATTTTTATAAAAAATATAATATTTGATTTTTCTAAAAGGGAAAATTTTGTTTTAGACTGGTCGTGAACATGTTTTTTTGCAAGCTGAGGACAAATCATCCATCCAGACTTTTTCCATCAATTTTTGCTTTATTATCTGTTAATTAGTTAATAATTTTTTAAATAACTTATGCAAAATTGCAAAGCCAATTTTCAATCATTCAACTGTCTTATGCAAAAAATATTCTTCAAAAAATTTGGATATAGTGAACCATCGGTTATAGTGGACGCATTACTGAGTCCGCAGACGGTTCACTATAGCGGGGTTCGACTGTATTTATGTGCTATTTATAATTTAATGTGGGGGAGGAGTTATCGATCATGCCAACCATCATCTATGAAAAGGTACCTCTTGATTGAATCAAGTTAGCATGTCTTATATACCAGTGAATTGATGTTTAATTTTCATAGTCGTAGTTACGTTACAATACTCCTCCACCAGAATTTTATCATGGATAGAATTTGATGAATGGTTAACACTAGTTACTGTACTTGTGAAAGATCTGGAGAGCTTTGTTGAGTGCTGAATGTGAGAGGTGTATTAACATCACGTCGTAGCTTTCATTGTTGCATTTTGCAGTCTCAAGTAGCAAAGTCAACTGTACAATGTGGACTATCCATCGAAGTAGGCGTTACCATCAAGTTATTTTGCAAAGTGGGCGTTACTGTGTGTTCAAATCACGTCCGGGTCACCAATGTGGGTGCGGAATTATTGACCATGCCAACTGTCATCTATCAAAAGGTACCTCGTGATTGAATCGAGTTAGCATGTCTTATATACCAGTGAATTGATGTTTTAATATTCGTAGTGGTAGTTACGCCACATACTGTGCATAAAAAAAAAATAGATTACTCGGATGAATAATTTTTGATCCAATGCTCTGATTTTTACTTTCTAGGACCCTGTATAGTATTTCACTGTCAATGTTTTCTTGTGTAAAAAAAAAAATTCTAAAAAATCAGCTTATTTTGCAGAAATGTAGTCTGATTGCTAAAAGAGGGTTAGCTTAAGTTCCTTCTTTGTTTATTTAATTTCTTCTTCATTGGCTCAAATAGTCCTAACTGAGCCCAGGACTTCCGCCAAAATTTTACCATGCTTCTCTGATTTTGTGACTATTTTCTAGTTTTTAATTTTTCGAATGGTTAAGGTCTTTTTTTAACACGCTAAAGCCATCTCAGAGTTGCTATGAGATCTAGTATGCATGGGCTTTACCAGAAAGACTTGCATTCTGCCCAATTCACCAGCTCATTTAAGTCCTGTAATTTTATGACTTTCATTACTAATTTAATTTATTAATATTTTTAATAATAATATGAAACTTATGTTTTTTTATTATTATTTAGGATTCAGTTACTGTTCATACGAAAATTCGGCCAAAAGATGTACCTGGAACACTTTTAAATATGGCTCTTTTAAATCTCGGCAGCTCGAATTCTAACTTAAGAACAACTGCATATAACTTACTCTGCGCCCTCACTGGAACTTTTGATTTAAAAATCGATGGACAACTCTGAGAAACATCTGGTATGTTTGTGTTAAAATTCCCTTTTGTCATTATCTATGACAAAACTTTTCTAGTTATGTTACTTTTTTTAAAAGTTCTTTTTATGCCTCTTTAATTTGTTGAATATATGAAAATTCTTTAATTACTTATTCTATTACATAACCTATTAAAAAGCTGCTTTAATGCCACTTTTTTTTTATTCATTCATGAAAATTCTTTATTTACTTATTTTTTGTATTTATAAAAACTCCTTATATTATTTCTGTTTAAGAACTAATTTAGTTTTCATGTATCTTGTTTCCCTAAATTATGTTGGTCCATTCCATCTCCACATTCCCATTGGTTTCAATATATATCCTTCCTTAAAGCATTTTTGAAAGAAAATATTTTTTAAAAAATAAACCCTAACTTATCTAGATTTTTTTAATGAGTCTTTTTCAAGAAGCTTCAAAAGTTTTTGAAATTGAAATGTAAAACACTTTTTATCGAAAATTAACTTAAAATTGATTTATGATCAACAAAAAATTTTCACAATAAAAGCCTTAGTTAATTCAATATTTTTTTAATGTCTATTCATTGTTTGTAAGAAAAATCATGCATCAACATGATTTTGGATAGAACATTTAACTTTTCTTAAATAAAAATTTTGATTCGTCAACAATATTTTCGTATCAAATGGAAGTTTATTTTTTGTTATTATCAGATAGATGTCTATTATTTTCTTCAATCGAAGCTGTTTTGTAATGTGCTTGAAATTTATGTGCAGTTAGAGTAACAAATAAAGCTTGGATTTAATCTTCAAGAATAATAAATAAATAAAAATGATATAGGACTTTTTTTTTATCTTTAAGACAATATAATTATAGTATTTAAGGAATTAAAAAATGACTTTTGTTAGTATTGTGCAACCATTTAAAGAGGCTCCCTCAGTAAAACCATCCATCTTTTATTTTGAAAAATTAAATCTTTCTCGGCAAATACAATAATTAATAACAAGCAATGTACAATTGTTTTGGTTAACAAATTTTAGCAATTGACCCTACATTACAGAAATTTGTTATAGTTAAAAAAATGGAAGACATCTCATAATTATTAAAAGTATTTAAATTGTTAAAAGTAGTTAAATTGTTAAGTATTTAAATTAAAAGTATTTAAATTGTTGTATAATTGTTTAAGTGTGTTAAAAAAAAATTAATATACAAATGTTTAGAAACAAAAAAAGGAAGCAAATGAAAGGAAACTTAATTTTTAAATTTAAACAAACATAGTCCTAACATGAGCATTGAATAGTATCCTAGACGTCAATAGGATTACAAACATAAAGAAAGATGAAAAAAATGAGCGAATAAGCTTTTGCAACAATACATATACACATTTCATTGAGTTGATTTTAGGTTATAATTTTTGTTCAGCTTACCAGCTTGACTGTGGTGGCTCTTTGATACTCAAACCTAGTTGTTCAGTTGTTTCCACTACTGAATTTCAGTACTCAAATCTAATTTTTCATTAATTTATACCACTGAATCTTTGGTACTCAAACCTACTCTGTTATTGGTTCTTCCAGAAAAATCGGCATAACTAGTTTTAAAATTTATTTATTTTGTTTGATTATTTTTTTGTACTGTATTGTATTTTTTCCGTGAAGCATCATTATAAAACAAATTCAAGATTTCAATTATGCCTTAGATGTGTTCTCTTGTTTTTAGTACACAACTTTTGATAATTTAAAAAATCTGTGTTGAGATTTTTTTCAAAGTCTTAGGAATTAAGTATTTATTGTTGAGCATAAAATTAGTATAAAATTAATTAGGAAATATCCTATTTTATATTTTCTATATTATAGGATTATGCATTCCTTCAAATAACACTATTTTCATCAAGCAAATCGCTGAAAAGCTTGCTTAAAATGCATCCCATTTAACTCTGGAATTTCTTTAAGAATGTATTCAAGGATTTCGATCTTCAACGATTGAGCTAAAACATTTGTGTTTGGAGTATATAACTCCATGTCTTCCCTATTTAACAAGGTATCTAGAACTGTTACAAAAAGTGATTATTTCTTATTTTCTACTTTTTTTATATACTTCCCAAGTAGCACCTAATATTAGATAACATCAGAAAATCGGCAAAATCTAACGTTATCTTGCACAATTTCTAATATTAGAAATATACAAGAGGTCGCTGTTTGCTCTGCATTATGTAATATTAGATTCTATGCAAACTAATATTATCTAGCGTTTGCCATAATATTGCTTTGCGTTAGTTTTGACGCTATATAATATTAGATTTTGTATTTTCTGATATTATTTTGCACTGCTTTTTATTTTTTTGGAGTAAGGAAGAGGAAGATATGGATGGTAGTAGAATAATTCGGCGATACAATTTTACTTAATTTTCTGTATTGTTGTGAAGCAGTAAAACATAGAACAATAGTTTTATGTCATTCCATGCATTATTTACTTAGCAATACAGAAATACTAAATAAAATTATATTAGCGAATTCTGCTACCTTCCATTTTTCTCCTCCTTACTCCAAAGTATATCTTATGTTCAGCTGATTTTTTCGAATATTTAAATTAGGAAATATTTTATTGCAACTTTTATTGATATTTTTTTCTTTTATTCATACAATGGGTTTTCTGACAAATTTTATATCATTAATAATTTTTAAGTCTTCAATTTTAAAATGTACTCTTAATTTTTTTTAAAAAACTGGGCTCATTTTATCAAAATCTCAATTTAATTTGTTAGTTTGTAATACATATATTTTTTAAATGTGTAACTTCAGCCATGTGTAATTTCACAATTATCATTCATTATTTATATTCTGAAATTATATAATAAAAACCACACTACATAATTATAAAGTTATATATTTACATTTGAACTGAGTTGAAATTTAAACTTAAATTTTTTTCCCTTTATAATATTAAAATTTTTCGATTTTTAAGTGGACATTTCTTGTAATAATTGGCACAAATAAAGAACAAAATTTAAAAATATTCAAATTACTTACTTCAACAAATTTACACATATTTTTTCCCCTTCTCTTTTCACTGGAATTGCTAAATGGAGAAATACTTACGTAACTTTATTCTTTTAGTATTTGAAATTTTATTTAGCAAAACACCTAAAAACAAAACTTCAACGCAAGGTAGAAATTTTTCCAGGGAATGAAACCGGGAAAGCAACTAATATCATGAAAATTGCTAATATTTTCTTATAATGTTAAAATAATTTTTATGGGCACATCAGAAATTTTCATCAATTCGATAATTATTTAAAGGTGTTATGCTCGATTAAACTAACAATCTTTGCAAAAAATTTACATAACATTTTAATTTCAAAACTGTCAGTAAATATTATGTGTTATCTAAATTAAATTTGCACAAACATATAATTGCATACAAGAATGAGATGAAAAAATAATAAAAAATTTTATATTATCTTTCAAAAGTTGCCTTTAGTATTAAAGATCAAAATTTTACTACAATCAATTACTCTTTTGAGATAGTTACTATAACAAAATAGATTTTTTTAAGACTATTCCCTTCCTGGTTTTTCTCTGAGTATATAGTATGCGTTATGAAGAATTAGCCTTAAAAAATATATATTATGCATTTAAAAAAAGTTGCTTTTGCAAAGAACCTTATATATAAAAATTTAAACAAGATTCTTCTCTGATTTAAATGTTCTGTTTTCACAATAATGTAAATAAATGTTCTGCTAAATTTTAAATATTAAGCCAAATAAATTTTTACTATTATCATTATTTTACAATTACATTAATTTAAACATCATAAAAATATATATACACTTATCTCAAATTTGAACTGCAAAATTGAAGTAATAAATACAATGCTAGTAGTATAATTGCTCATAAGTTAGAGTTAATGTTAATAATGATGTTAAAATAAAATTGCTTCTGATATCTTTAAAATTTCTTGAATTTTCATAATACTTGAACATAACTATAATGACTAGAATAAATTACACAATGCAGTAGTTAAGAATAAAAAAATTTATTAAATCAAATCATGACAAACATTTCACTACTAAATTATTTTATTTTAAAACAAAACACAATATAAATATAACTTCACTCAACTATAAAAGCAATACATTCTTATCATCATTGTTTAATATAAGTTTATCAATATTCTTTTGTTAAAATATAAGTTAAGAACATGTATTTGTAATTAAATGAAATAATTTTTATTTTTATTTCAAAAAGCAACAGTAGGACCATGAGTTATCATTTTCATTATTATTATTTTTAAATTTAAAAAAATTCCAAAACTTTACAGTCATTTCATACAGTTTAAAGTTTTTCTCCAATTCAATTGTTTGTTTTTGAGCAACTGAACTATATTTCAGAGCAATAAACTGAAAATTTTTGCTTTGTGGAAAGATTTTATAAAATGGTCCGCAACAATTGCGCATATCACACAAATACACAGCAAGGATGAATTGCACAGGGATGCACCTTTCTTCAAACTTTCAGCTCCGGCAGATTTAAAGAGAACCTCCAGTCGTTTTATTCTCTGTCAAGATCGAATATATGGCTCCCAGTTTTCTACCAGAATATTAATTTCCATTTGCATTGTACAGCACCTAATCTCAAAACTGAATGGCTCCTTGGTAGATAAGCTTGTTTATCCAGCAGACGAAGCTAAAATTACAAGAGAAAAAAGTTAACTTTACATTGAAAACACTAAATTTAAATCTCTACATTACTTTATACTGAAAACATTAAATTAGTTAAAGTAAATTTAAAACTATTAAGCATTGAATATTTCTTTAAAATTTAAATCATTTCATTTGAAAATGTTTACAATTTAATGGGTAGATTTCCGTAAGAATACCTGCACCAAAAAATCTCAGTATCACCGAGCAAGAATAGAAAAATATTTCACTTATAACCGCTTTCAAATAATAATTTTATTCTTTCTTAATTATTATTATTTTTTTAAAAAAGAAGAAATTATAGTTCAATATGCTTAAGCCCTTTTCAATTGAAGTGAATATTCAAGTATATATACAGATACAAAAATATATCAAATTCAATACTTTTTAATTTTTTTTAAAGATTAAGTACAATGACATTTAACTATTAAAATATTTTTGTACATTGTATAAGCTCATAGAGCAAATAGGAAATGTTCACATTTTTTTTAAAAACTTCATAAATAAAAATTTTAACACCTTTTAAGCACTGTTCTTCATTTAATGTAAACACACTTTGAGTAGACCATATTGTGCTTATTTTTTAACTATTTGCTATCATTTATAAATTAATATAATTAATCATACATCAAAAACATCTGTCTATATTCATGAAATGAAAATAGAGATATTTAACTCACCATTTTACAATATATTAAACAGGAAATTCAAATAATGTAACAACAGTATTCGACTTGTGAATAAAATTTCAAACATTCTAAAATGCAATGGTTTTAACTAAAAAGTAATTGATTAATTAATTATTTTAACATGGCAATCTTGTTTACTAAAAATTTATTTTTATCTTTATCATTACAATGAAAAAAAATAAAAACTGCAAAACTCTTTAGTGAGAAGCCAAGAAAAAAAATTGGCGAAAAGTGTTAAATAAACAATTGCTTATTTTCTTCCATTCCTTATTTTAAAATTTGATTAATGTAAAAGAACATCAATGTAAAAAGATACTACGAGAATTCAAAATCATCAATTTATGGTTGAAAAAATTATATAGAAGGAGAATTCTATAACAATTCACATATTTCAAAGTTGTAAATATATGTTAAATATACTTCGCCCCTTCCCCCAAATATTTTGACATAACAATCTTTAAAAGTCAGTATGCATACTTAACATTTGTCAAATATTTTTTTTTCTTATAGTTTAACTAAATTTTTACAGCATTAGATTATTTCTAACAGGAATTTATTGAAAAAACATAACATCACCATTTTGAATAGACCATATTATTGTTTATTTTTTAATCATTTACAAATTAATATACATAATGATGCATCAAAAACATACAGATTAGCCGATATTCAAATAAAAATCAGTCTATATTCAAATAAAAATGTTTAATTGATTGTTGTACAATATTTTAAGCATGAAATTTTAATATGCTAGCAATATTGTTTGTATTAAACTTTAAATATTCTACAATATAATGGTTTTAACTGCGCTAAAAGTAGCAGATTATGCATATATATATTTTTTTTTATTTAACATGGCTAATTTGTTTACAGACCATTACTTTTGTCTTTTTCATTTTTGCAGAAAAACAGTGCTTATTACTTACAGCTAGACAATACGTTTCAACAAAGAAGTCAACAACTACGAATGAACAATAATGATCACAATACAAAATATTTACTGACCTTATTGAATACATGATCAATAAATTAATTCTTAAATGTTTTAATTTAGCGGCGAAGTTTATTAAGCAGGTACACTGAATGTTACTACAACATCTACAATCTCAAACACATTGTGATTTAAATTACTTTTCTAGCTGATTTTTAACTCAAGAAAAAAACACTAAATTAAAGCACCAATTACTAACTAAAAATACTAATTACTAAATTATAAATACCTTTGAAGTTAAAAATGCCATTCTGGCTGATAACCATGATCAATGGCGGCAGCGGAACAATGGGATCCATTGGCGATGCAAACTCTCCTAAGGAAGTTACAACTCAACAATTGTACTCCCGAATACAGCTTATTTCTGCTAATATTATCTTCTGTTTGCTGATATAAGTTTGGATTGGCTAAAAATGATATTTTAAGTAATATTTAATTTATCGTTTTCTTTCATAAATAAATGCTTATTTATTAGGTAATAACTAGCCGCCTAAGGCGGCCAGATGTCCGCCACGCTAAAGGTTTTCACAAATAAAGNATGATCACAATATAAAATATTTACTGACCTTATTGAATACATGATCAATAAATTAATTCTTAAATGTTTTAATTTAGCGGCGAAGTTTATTAAGTAGGTACACTGAATGTTTCTACAACATCTACAATCTCAAACACATCGTGCTTTAAATTACTTTTCTAGCTGATTTTTAACTCAAGAAAAGAACACTAAATTAAAACACCAATTACTAACTAAAAATACTAAATTATAAATACCTTTGAAGTTAAAAATGCCATTCTAGCTGATAACCATGATCAGCGGAACAATGAGATCCATTGGCGATGCAGACACTCCTAAAGAAGTTACAACTCAACAATTGCACACGCGAATACAGCTTATTTCTGCTAATATTATCTTCTGTTTGCTGATATAAGTTTGGATTGCCTAAATATGATATTTTAAGTAATATATGATATTTTAAGTAATATTTAAAATTTATCGTTTTCTTTCATAAATAAATGTTTATTTATTAATAATATAGGATAACCTTTCGCAAAAATNATTATGGGCCGAGTTTCGTGCCCGGGCGAGGCTTCTGGGGCGATATATTGTGATTACAGACACACACACACACACAGCCGCGTTTATTATTATGTATAGATGTATAGATATGGGATAAATTTTCGCAAAAATGTGGCGCTGGACCAACAATATTGAAATAGATGATAATTTTGAAAGTTCGAATTTTAGATCGAATACTATTTAATTTTATACAATATTAATTCTAATATTAGAAGATAGGATTCAAGAGTATTGTGTTTTCAGTATTATATCGCATCTTTCTAATATTAGATCATATCTTTTTGCTACCTGGGAAGTAATAATCGTGAGTATTAAGTAATAATAAGTTAAAAATTGGCATTTTGTTTAGGTAGTATTTTTACTTAAAACTTTTCCTTAGTAACATTTTCAGATAGGTGTTTTACAAGTTTCTTGGATATATACTTAATATCAGCTCTGTGCAGAAAATCTTATTCCGAAAAAACCTCTTCTGAGCAATTTGAAAATGTTATTTATCGTTATATTATTATTGCCTAGAGACATATCCTAGAAATTTTTCAAATAAGAGCATTCTTGAAATAAGAGATATATTAAAGGATGTTGGTTTTTATTAAGTGTGAAATTTAAATAGTTGAAAAGCATTTAAGTTAAGTGAATCAACAGAATCTTAAATATTAATTGATTTTTAAAAAAATGGCGATTCATTATTACGATTATTAACACATATTATAATTATCTGTCAATTTTAATTAATCAGTATGTAATAAATTATTTCACTTTCTCTCAATCTATTGTATTTATTGGTTATTTAGTGTGGAAGTTGCGTTAATAATATTATATATTCATCAGGATTTAAATTGAGATAGAAGTGCCGATTTAATATTAGTTGTAATCAATTTGCTGTCTCTGTGAATTCAAGATTACATAATATCCATATTTTCGAGTTTTAATTTTTTTATAACCATTGTGCTTTTTGCAGAGGAGTGTTACTGGTGGTTTAGGCTCAGCACAGTCCGAAATAATGGCCGACACTGCCCTAGCATTAGCCTCATCTAACGTTCAACTAGTTGCATTAAAAGTTATTAGCCGATTATGTAGAGTAAGTACCGGAATGATTCTTACTTTTTACTTGTAAAGAAGTATTTTTCAACTGAATCCTTCAAATTTTATTTAAGGTTATTGAAAAAACGTGTACTTCCTGAACTCCTACACTAGAGCAACATTTGATGTGGGAAGATCTAGCTATCTCAACTCGCTATCTTTTGATGCTAGGTTTTAATAATTCACTTGATGGTAAGCACCTCTTAATGTAAATGTTAGCTGCTAAACTTTTTTTGAAATGGAATTAGCTTGTATTTGTGTTATATGAGGAGGAAAACCTCCTAGGGTTAGCCTGATAACAAATGAATTCTAGCACATGATCCGTCTACCACTGGGGATACCTCAGCACTGTGGTCAACACAATGCAGGAGCAAAACTCGTATGAAATAACCACCACTGGGATTTGAACCTGGTTCACTTCATTGGCAAGGCAAATGCAAGGGTATCAGCGCACCTGGAAAGTCATGAATTACGGTATTGGACAAAATTTATCATGAAATGTCATGATTTTAACTATTTTTTTAAAAAAAAAAATCATGGATTTAAGTCGACGAAAAATCTTATTTTCAAAATGGATTTTACCCTTCCCCCCAATTGTCTGAATGTGTAACAAAATGCCCACTCACTGTCATATTTGATTAAAATATAAAATGTTTTTATCATGTTCTTTAAAAATTATGGTGTTCTTTTTAAAAATGAAATAAAAGGGATCAAGAGTGAATTATCTTTTAAACATCTGTGATTTCAGAATTTTTATTATTATTTTTTTATTTCATCAATTTAAAATTTTAGCTGAAGCAAGCCAGTCATTGATGAAATTTTTTTATTCCTAAATGAGAACAGAAAAATCGGGAGTATTTCTTTCCTTTCCGATGAACAAGAAAAGTATCTTTAGAATGTAATTCTGCAGAAAAAAAGAAAAATAATTAATTTATTTTGTATTTTTTTCAGCTATTTTATTGCTTCAACTCTTTCTTTACTCTGTTTTTTTAAATTTTAAATCTATAAATATGAAGATGCAGAGTATAACAGTTTTGGTTATATCTATCATTTCAATTAATGTTATTATAATGCTTTTTTAAATTTAGTGTTGTGTTTTTGTCAGAGAAAATAGTAACTTCGTTAAGTCATGAAAAATTCTTGGAATTAGTCATGGAAAGTCATGAATTTGAAAATCTAAAATATAGCAGTTACTCTGTACCCGTTCACCTCATTAGTGGGAGAAAGCTCTGTCCCCAGTGCCATCACGGCTCTCTTATAGGTTCTTGTCTAGTTGAAACGTTTTGTGTTAATATCCTCCTCAAGATTTTAAAAGCATTTTAATTTGTAATACAATAATTTATTAATGAAGCCAGCTCTAGGGTCGATGCGAGCCGGGTGCGGAATTCGTATCGACCAGCCATCGACGGGATTCGGACCCCGTTCACCTCATTGGTGGGAGAAAGCTCTGTCCCCAGTGCCATCGCGACTCTCTTATCGTTTTTGTCTAGTTTATAGGTTTTGTGTAAATATCCTCCTCAAGATTTTATAAGCATTTTAATTTGTAATGCAGTAATTTATTAACGAAAGCCAGCTCTAGGGTCGATGCGAGCCGGGTGCGGAATTCGTATCGACCAGCTGTCGACGGGATTCGGACCCCGTTCACCTCATTGGTGGGAGAAAGCTCTGTCCCCAGTGCCATCGCGATTCTCTTATAGGTTCTTGTCTAGTTTATAGGTTTTGTGTAAATATCCTCCTCAAGATTTTATAAGCATTTTAATTCGTAATGCAGTAATTTATTCACGAAAGCCAACTCTAGGGTCGATGCGAGCCGGGTGCGGAATTCGTATCGACCAGCCGTCGACGGGATTCGGACCCTGTTCACCTCATTGGTGGGAGAAAGCTCTGTCCCCAGTGCCATCGCGACTCTCTTATCGTTTTTGTCTAGTTTATAGGTTTTGTGTAAATATCCTCCTCAAGATTTTATAAGCATTTTAATTTGTAATGCAGTAATTTATTCACGAAAGCCAACTCTAGGGTCGATGCGAGCCGGGTGCGGAATTCGTATCGACCAGCCGTCGACGGGATTCGGACCCTGTTCACCTCATTGGTGGGAGAAAGCTCCGTCCCCAATGCCATCACGACACTGTCTGTGACACCTATTGAAAAATAACCCTTCTTTAAAAAGTATTGATTAAAAAAAAAAACTCCAATAAATTCCTATTTATTACATTACCTTATAATATATTATTTAATAGATATATATCTTTATAAGGTAATGTATCTACATTCTTCATAATTTATAAAAGTAGCTATGAAGTAAGAATTTTATTAAAATTTAAGTTATTAGGATTATTTTTTGATGTATGATAAACTAGCAGTTACCTTCAGATCCGCCCCTCCTATCTTTTTATTTCCTCTTCGTGTAAGATTTTATTTCGTAACAAAAAAGTACTTTTTCCGCGGTAAATTGTAGCCCAGCCTGTGTCAACTCTTTATCTAGACCTCCAACTCGCACAAGATCACTGGGATTTGTTGCTTAGTTTTTACGTGACAACGTAATAAACAGACCGACAATACACAACTACGGTTTTGCATGCAAACTTATTTCCGCAATTATAATATTAATAGGGGTTTTTTATACTGCACTATTTTATTCCATTTACACATGAATTAAATTAAACTAGTTTGAATTTAATTAATAAATGTATAAAATTAACATGTGTTCAAGTTTTTCACACTACACTTCGCTACAGTTAGAAATTTATATCTTTCACAGTGAGTAGCACTATACCGGCTGTCAAAAATACTTTTGAAGATGATGAATTTACAGAAAGTCAATATCAGGTAAGCAAGGGGTCTACCCAAAACTGCAAAACATGACAAGGGGTCTACGGGACAAAAAAGTTCAGGAGCCACTGATATAATGCATAAAAAACTATAAAATGTACAGTAAAAGTTAGAATGAGTGAAATCTTTTTTTACACATTTTAATAAGTCTGAAGGAATCGGTCATTTTTTTTTATTATCGATGTTATTAGATAATAAAGAATTTAATTACTAAACACAAATATTGAAGTATGAGAAAATTAATTAATCTTTCGTCTGCAAAGTTTTAGAAGAAGAAAAATGTGGATACTATTTGAGATTAGAGTTTAAATAGGGGATTCGTTTTTAGATTTCATAAATTAAGTCACTTCAAGGTATTATGAAAAATATATTGAATTAAATTTAATGAATAATTAGTTAAACATAAAAAAAATGTTAGTCTTTTGAACAAGCGTAATAATGCCATATTAACAATCACTACATTTAATTAGACAAAAAACGAGTTCACATCTGTTTAAAAATAATTGTATTAGTTAAACCATCAGTTTAATTTTTTTTTTTTTTAACGGTAAAAGTTTTGCCATAATAATTTGGTCAAAATTTCATATATATGTTTAATTGTTCTGATATAATTTATTAAATGGTTTTCAAAGAGATCATTATTATGCTAATGTTACAGGTAAAGATAAAAATGATTTTTCGAGTACACTTGTTCGTAAAATTTTGACGTGTTTAATGGTATAATTAAAAGTACAGTCGAACTCGTTTATAACGAGCTCAGATTTAGCGAGAACTCGGATTTACCGAGGGAAACGAGAATATTTGGTTGGATCAATGTTAGGTCTATGGAACAGAAGTCGCTTTTAACGAGCAATACCCGGTTTTAGCGAGCAATATTTTTCTGTCTTGCAATCTTTTTTTCAAAATGATAAGAAATGCGCTCAAAAAAAAAAAAAAACGGCGAACTGAAACTTCAAAGTAAGCTAACAAACTACTATTTTAAATATGTAGATTAATGAAAAAAATAAATGCTTTGGTAAGAATCTTTTCCTTTATTTTTCTTTGCGTTTATTGCTTCTTTCCTTTAAGACTGTAGCGCAACTAGAAATTTTTTGCTGGTTGGGGGGGATAGTTTTTATTAAATTAAGAAAAGTATTTCATTAAATTAATTAAAGTAAGTAAGAATTAATTAAATTTTATGTAAACTCAATAATTCTCTTCTGGTTGCACGCCTGCCTTAAGGACCCGTTTATTACGAGCACTCGGATTTAACGAGTACATGTTACGGTCCCTTTGTGCTCGTTATAAACGAGTTCGACTGTACCTTTATTTAGTTACGGTAGAGGGAAAGGACTTGGACCACACAATATGGTGGTCTCGAGAGGCTTCACTTTTCTGAAGTTGTCTTTTCTTCTCTACTCTATGAATAAGAAACAAGAGTTTTTGCAAACATTATGAATTGTAAAACCATGTTATAAAGAGGTTAAAATATTATACTTTCATTACAGGATCTTGGAAAAGCGAGTGTCGCAAGACCATTTAGAAGATGATGTTATAATTGAACGCACCCGTGTTCGTTACAGTCTCCAACATACTCTAAGCATTCTCCTACGCGTTATTCCTACATATGAAAGAATAATAATATTTAATCTAGAAACAGAAAGGGTCGCCGCGTGTTATGATGTCGAACAATTCACGTCACCGGGAGGTTTGAGTGAGAAAGTTCCATTGAAAGAAGATTATTTTCGAAGAAGTAAACGAGAACTGTAAAGGCAGCCAAGTTAACTTACTAAAAGGTTTATTTATACTTATAATTTTATTTATACTTACAATTTTGTTATTATTATTTATACTTTATATTTAATCTTCTGATTCTTGTGAATTTAATTAAAATGTATTGCGTGTGTGTTTCTTACTTTACCCCTAAAACATGAAATAAGGTACTGAGAAAAGAGTATCTTTAAACTAAATTACTCTTGAAATATAATAATTTAACAGCATCTTAATTTTATCGAAGTAATAGTTAAATTGCTATTGGAGCAAAAACAAAATCCCTTTTTTAACTTATACACAATTTATGTGAGATAGAATTCACTTTCTCATTTTGTAGCTTTATTACAAGTAATCATGCTTAGTTAGATAAGCTGTATATTATATCAGATATTAATAATTCTGAACATATTAGAAATTGATTAATTGCAAAACAAAGAGAGACTTATTCTCTAAATAACCGATCATATCGTTAAATACAAAATATCTAACAACGGCTTCTAGCAAACTATGTAATAAATATTTGAAAATTATGGATTCTGTAAACGAGAAAATTATAAGACATACAGGAAAAAGCAAAAGTTAAATGCTTAAAAGCAGCGCATAAAGATAAGGATTAATTTATTATGTCAGGAAAATTTCAACTTAAATAACTAATTTATTATAACAGGAAAATCCTGAAAAATTGTTAAACACCAAAATTACAATATTTATATTTTAAAAGAAGGTCTTACAGGTTTAAATAATGTTTTGAAAGAACCAAGACAGCTGCTTTTAAAATGTTAAAAGAAGGCACATGTTTTCACTTTAAATGGGAATTCATTCTTTAGTCATGCTGCTATTTGTTAAACGTCGAAGAAAAGGAGACANTATTATGTCAGGAAAATTTTAACTTAAATAACTAATTTATTATAACAGGAAAATCTTATCCTGAAAAATTGTTAAACACCAAAATTACAATATTTATATTTTAAAAGAAGGTCTTGCGGGCTTAAATAATGTTTTAAAAGAACTAAGACAGCTGCTTTTAAAAATGTTAAAAGAAGGCACATATTTTCACTTTAAATGGGAATTCATTCTTTAGTCATGCTGCTAAGTACTTATGTATTTCAGTTTTCTAAAAGGTTTTAGAATTCATACGAAAAAAGCGTTGTTTTAATACATTTTTTTCTTTTAATTATTCTTTGTTTGAATTATTCAGGGTTGATTGTGCTCCGGAATTTTCGCTAACGGAGAGCGAAGGTCCAGACGTTTCAAAAAATCATTGATCACAGAACTTTCCGGAAATCTAATTTTCAAAGGTGGAACTTAAAAACACAGTTTATTTTATTTGTTTCTAAGGGAGAGCTAGAGAGATACTTTATAAGCTTATATTCATGATTAATATTAATTTTTTATCAGTAAATAGTTGTTATAATCATAAACTCAAGAAAGAAAGACATATTTGTAAATTTTAATTACTTCTTCAGGTCAACATAGGTATGTAAAAATATATTTTAAGTAAACTAAGAATTATTGAGAAAAAGGCAAAAAAACAGTGTTTAAATTTTTTTTTCAATTTAAACTTTTTTTTTTTTATTAACGCAAGAAATTTTCCGGAATTTTGACTTGGGCTCACAATCCCCCCTGATTATTAAATGTAACCTATAAAAATGAAATTCAAAATGGAAAACTTTTTTTTCCCGTTAGTAAGTCAGTACGCTTTTATAATCAAATTCCACCTGAAGGAAAATTTTAAATATCATTAAAAATTTTAGATATGTTTACAAATTCAAATATAGAAGTGAAAAATAATTCCTTGCAAATGAATTAAAAGAAAAAAGCAGGAATTCATACTCTTACTGATGTCATCACACGCGTCAATATTAGCATCCAGTCCACTAATTAAAATAAATCTTTAAATAGATGATTGGTTTTGGTTCGCCAAATAAATTTTAAAAAATCATATTACTTGACCTTTCGGGNAATAACTAAAATTTAGAAGTGAAAAATAATTCCTTGCAAATGAATTAAAAGAAAAAAAGCAGGAATTCATACTCTTACTGATGTCATCACACATGTGACGTCCTCATAACATGTGTCTATATTAGTTTATATAAATATTAGCATCGAGTCCTCTAATTAAAATAAATCTTTAAATAGATCATTGGTTTTGGTTCGCCAAATAAATTTTAAAAAATTATATTGCTTAACCTTTCGGGATAGTATAAAAATTGCACTAGAAAAGGTCAGTTTTTAAATAAGAAAATTTAATTACCCTTTTTTTTTTTTAAGTCAAAAGTGGCTGCTAAAAATTATAATTTTACTGCTCTTAGTTTTTAATTCCCCTGAAAAATCCATAATGCAGCCGATATGACCTATTTAATAACTCAACAACTAATTCGAAATACAAACTGAGACCAGTTATTCATTTTCTCTGACTATAGTAATGTTTGAATTTAAAACAATCACAATTCTTTTGTTAACAGTTTTCACCAAACTGAATTACGCGACGCAAAACAGCGATTTTCATCTTCGACGTATAACAACTCAACTAATCCAACATTATGATAAAAGTTTTTTTTTTTTAGCATTTTTCTGTAAGTGTGCAAAATTTCATTTTATAGTTTTTGAGTTATGACAGAGAAAAGTGCGCTCGGTAAAAATTTTCTGAAACGATAGTGGTGGCAACAATAGTTTTATTTAGTATTTAATATAGAGACAAAACTTATTTTGCTAATGAAACACCTTATAAACCATAGTTTTCCTTTGTCAAGATTTTTATTCAAGCATAAAGAAGTCTAATTTATATCGGAAAATAATTGTCGATTTAAAATATTTTAAGAGTTTCGAATGGATAGCAAACCACTTATTTCCTCAGCAAAACATAAATAATTTTCACTTTGTCTGAGAGTCGTAAAACTATCATTTAAAAACGCTTGTGTTTTATAATCCTTAAGATAAAGCGGTCAAATAGGCAGGCGCAAGCTAATCGTTTCGTATGAGCCAATCTATAATTTATACAAAATAGTACGATAATATTAAAGCGGCTGTCATCTTCCTCTGGAATGACGGTCATAAACTCTTTATTAATTAGTCTAGTATATATTTGTTCTTAAATGGGTTGTTTTTTTCAGCATGACTAAAGGCAAAGTAGAACTCAATAGTTTTATAATGTATTATAGATATTTTAGTGGAGTTGCGCTAATTAAAAATTAAGAGAAGCTGATAATTTTAAATTTCTTCGAAACATATAAATCTTTCATTAAAAAAATCAATATTAGATAATCGAGTGATATTGTTATAAGAATGTTTTGGCAGAATTTCTTTAATTATATTTTAAAAAAAACTCTCACAATTCAACTTTTATTTATAACACGACGTTAAATAATTAATGCTTACATAAATTGCGCGATTTGATGAAAATATTTGCTCGAAGGGTATTTTTAGTATAGCGAACTCCTATTACTAAACGACCAAGGAATATGGTTATCCTGGTAAACTCATTCCTATTTTATTCTATGTCCGTCGCTGAACAGCTGACGCAATTTTGCTTTTATGTTCCGTTGCCTTGTAATTTTTAACACAATCCTGGAGCAACTCCTTTATCAAATATTTGTAGCCCTCGTGGAAGACTTTGATCCCGCATTTGCGTTACATGGAGAGGAAAACCTCGCAATGTGGCACACTATTTAAGTACGACTGTCTATATTTCTAAGTGTATATATATATAATAGCGTTAAAATGGAGAAAGTGTTGATATATATATTCCATCGCGTGATCTAGCAAGGAATGTGATAATCTGTATTTTACGGTAATTTATCTTATGCTTACATTCTCTAGTCTTAATATAATTCTAATTGGCGATGCAACATATCCAGCGGATAAAAAATACAAGATTCTTTCCGATAATTTCCCTTCGACTTCTTTTCTCAGGATCAAGGGGTATACTTTTTTTTTTCGCTTCATTTGCTAAAATAGAATTTTTTTTGCTGAATTAACGATTTGGCGAATGCTTAGGGCAGCCCTTAATAATTATATAATGAAATAAAATAACAAATTTAATGTATGATGACTCTGAATTGGCACCATACTGTTACTGTAGAAGCAGTGGCGTAGCTAGGTAACCAAGGGCTCTGGGGCAAATTAAAAAATGGGGCCCCACTGCTATGTAAACTGATTAGGTTCTATTAAATAAAAATATGAAATATACAAATACTTTGAAAATGCTAAGCTACTTAAGCTCTTTTTTGTGCACTGCAGGGCAGGTAATAAAAATATTAAACAGTAACAACATAAATTACAATTAATACTTGGTGTAGGTTTGGCTAATAAAACGAAATAGAGAAGATTCAAGGGTTTATTATATAAAGGTCGGGCCTACCAACTGACCAAATAACAATTATATTTACAATTTTTTCCTAGCTTTAGTTTTCGCGAAAGTATCAATGACTTCGTTTAAATCCAGGCTTGATGCGGTTTCGTCTTCAATATGAGTGGTAAAATCAAATAAAATTGAACCACTATATTGACCAGTACAAAAAAGTTTATTGACATTAGCTTACTTACTCCTGATACAGCATTTATTTTTTATCCGTTCTCGAAAAAAAAATCCTAACTCGAATTCACAATAAAACGCACATCTCACTATCCATCAAATTGACAACACTGTCAACCTACAGAAAGAATTTAGGGGAATTCCCTAGGCATAACTTTTGAATTTCTCTCAACTGAGTTGTCATGAATAAGTGGGGTTGCAAGCTGTCATATTTATTTTGAAAATGGGAGAAATTTCCAAAAGTTTAGTTCGATCGAGATTTCTGGTAAGGATTTGAGGGCCCCGGGGCACTGCCCCGCCTAGCCCCTAGGTAGCTACGCCACTGTGTAGAAGGCCATGTGGAAACCTTTATTTACGCCGTTTCACAAGACTGAAAAAGAGGCAGTCTATTATTACTTTTTCTTATAGTGTAGAGTTGATTTGCTTTTGAAATAATCTAGACTAATAACGATAGCAACTTTAAATTCCACATATATCGAAATGGTAGATTGTTATTTAATGGATATTTTGGAGCGACGCTATCAAGCCAACTTTAATATTCCATGAAATGTTTTCAATTAAACAGAAAAAGAAGTAAATAGAAAGAAATATAGTAAGAAAATATAAAGGGAAGATTTGGGGCTATATATATATGAGCTACAGTTTCTCCATTTTAACGTCATTATAGACACTTTGAAGTATACTCATATACACTTACATATTTTGCCACATTGTGGGCCTCTTAATATGTCTATAATTATTTCCTC